GTCTATGTGTCCGGCAATCTCCAATACAAATCAACCTGTGAGGTTTCAGTATTTTGCTCTTGTCACTCAATGCGTCTATGTGTCCCGCAATCGGAAACGTCACTCAACCCGTGAGGTCTCAGTATGCGGCTATCCTCACTCAAAGCGTCTTTGTGTCTGGCACTGTCCAACATCACTCAACTCGTGAGGTTTCAGCATGTAGCTATCCCCACTCAGCGCGTCTATGTGTCTGGCAAACTCAAAAACCAATCCATCTGTGAGGTTTCAGTATGCAGCTATCCCCACTCAATGCATCTATGTGTCTGGCAAAACCAATGCATCTGTGAGGTTTCAGTATGCAGCTATTCTCACTCAACACGTCAATGTGTCCGACAGTTTCCATCACAAATCACCTGTGAGGTTCAGTATGTGTCCATCCTCACTCAACGAGTCCATGTGTCCGGCACTCCAACATCATTCAATCCGTGGGGTTTCAGTATGCAGCTATCCCCACTCAACCCGTCCATGNTGCATCTATGTGTCTGGCAAAACCAATGCATCTGTGAGGTTTCAGTATGCAGCTATCCTCACTCAACACGTCTANTCTCACTCAACACGTCAATGTGTCCGACAGTTTCCATCACAAATCACCTGTGAGGTTCAGTATGTGTCCATCCTCACTCAACGAGTCCATGTGTCCGGCACTCCAACATCATTCAATCCGTGGGGTTTCAGTATGCAGCTATCCCCACTCAACCCGTCCATGTGTTTGGCAATCTCAAACCTCACTCAACCCTTGAGGTTTCAGTATCCAGCTATAATCACTCAACACGTCTGTGTGTCCGGCAGTCTCCTACATCAATCAACCTGTCAGGTTTCCGTAAACAGCTATCCTAACTCCACTCGTCCATGCGTCGCGCGTCTTTTGTAGCGCATGCTATGGGGGATTTATTTGGGGTGGCGTGTTTTACAGCGCTTTGCCAACAGCGCCAACCCACTTAAGTCTAGAGCGGGAGGGGGGGGGGGGATATTCCTGCCCCTCGCTGTCCCCAGATATGTTGCCGATCCACTTTGGCGAAGAGAAACGGGCAGTTTTGTGAGGGAAAAAAGAGTTAACCGTTTGGCTTTGACGCGCGGCCAAGCCGGTGCTCTGCGACTGGGGTTCCCCCACGACATGTAGCGGCATGAAGGGGACGGAGACGCCGAGAGTCTGCATCTCGTGACGTAACACCGGTCGTAAATTTCGGAGGCCCGGGAGTAGTGTTTCTTGAGGCGATGGTCGAGAGGCCGGCAGTCAGGCAGGTGCGAAAACCGCGGCTGGTCGTGGCATAAACTACTGAGAGTGTCAATAGCCGTTCTGTTTCTTGTTGCGGCACGAGGGAAGCACAGAGGAACGTATCTGTCCGTCCAGCTGGTGCGAGAGGTGGGGGCTTCGCAGGTTGGAGGATGAGCGAGAAGGAGGTGTGTCCGTGTTCGTCCTTGGAAAATATGGTGATGGTGTTGTTTCGTGGGAGGGTCGCGGAGTTCGTGTGGGGGTGGGGCGGCCAAGCGCTGCCTAAAGCGAAGGTGGTCCAACAATCTTTTCTCGTGCGGCGACACGTGCCAGAACAACAAAGGCGATATATTTGGGCCTATTTAATTACGGTACTGTTGATTGTTGCAACCGAAAACCAAGCATGTGTCAAGGAGTCAAGCGGGAGAGAGAACCGACGATTTGATCTATGCTCCGTGGTCCGCGTCCTATTCAGAGGACTACCGCTCGCAACGGGAGTTAATTAAGGATGTCAGGCAGCATTTTCCACATGAGTTTTCCCATTTCGTGTCACCCTCCGTTGTCTCTTCGCTACCGAAAGAGGGCCAGCACAAGCCCAGCTTGAACGAACGCAATTTTTGAGTCAAAAAACGCCGGAAATGAAGAGGGAATGTTCAGACCAACGACGCAAAAGCGCATGTGGCATACAAGTCGACAACTCGTGGGCAATGCCGAAACCGTCTGGCGTTTGGTGCTCCGCTACAGCCGTAGCAGCAATCCTTGCCGCAGGAGTGAGTCACTCGCGTTTGTGTTGCGGTGCGTGCGAACACCTCCACCGAGCATCATGAAGCACGCCTCTGAGTGAAGCCCAACAAATTTATTGGATGAACCACCCCCCACCCCCCGTGCGCTTGGTGATGTGAGAGCCTGGTCCGGTGAGAACCCGGCGTGCTCCGTCCCGGCTTTGTAGGGATGTGAGGTCGATGTACGGCGACTATGAGTACACCCCCCAACCCCCCCCTCCTTCCGTCGCCGCTTCGGGCGATTGGCGATGCGAGTGGCCGATTCCCGGTGCGGCAAAAGTCAACGTAACATGTTGGGGATGGTCCTGGCTGCTGCCACCACCTACTAATCATGAGTAGTCAGCGCTGACTGCTGCGGTGGCGTGTAAGGGGCTACGCCCCATACAAAACGTACACCGGCAAGGCAAATATTGGTGCTCGGAAAAGGCGCGTGCCTCGATTCGCGAGCATTTGTCACTTCGTTTAGTCTAATCTCCTCTGTTCTGTTATCTACCAATAAATACCGTTTCACTTGCTACCCGGACAATACGCGAGATCGAAGGGGGCGGTTTGACTCTCCCACAAGGGAAACGATACACAGCCTTCGTATGTACCCTGCCTACACCGCCTGCCCACATACCTGTCTCACCATGGTAGCCCCCTCCCCCCTCAAAAAAAGAAACATGCTGCTGTAGTAGCGCCATCCTTTGAAAATTGAGCGCACCAGCCAAGCCAGCTTGACTTGACGCGCGATTTCCAACATTTGATTCATAGCTGACATCATACAACAACTGTTTGTTTGCCCACCTCCCACACACACGTCCTGGTGTACACGTCCGCGACACCTGCTAATTGGTACAATGCTGAAGCGAACACCAACAAACACACCCACAGCGTGGTTCGAAAAAAATACTCCACACGAGACACGTTGCGCCACAACGCTAGCTCGTCACGTTGCTGGTGACGTGACATGCCAGGAAAGCCCGGGCGTGCCACGAAAAAAAAAAAACGAAACGGAGTCGCGCAACACGCCGAAAATTGAGACTCTCCTCCCCAGTTGATGAGAGCCGGACAAGCGTCGGAGATACGCTGTACAACTTCCCTCGCTCAAGATGTCGCGACCACCACCACAAAGACAAGGCGCGGTCCAGTGAACCGAGGTCGGGCTGACACAACGCCTTCCTGCCGATGATAACGCTCATTCCGCTCACCTCCAAAACAAACAAAAAAATCATTATGAGACATCGCTGATATCAACGCTCAGAGGGCTACAAGCACGTTTTCCATTGGGGAGGACGCAGAAAAAAGACCAACGCAGGAAACAAGACAATCACCGCGAAGAACGAACGTCCACGTGGAGGAACAAACACATTGCGTCGTCGTTCCTTCTTGGTCCATCACCCGCACAACCACCCTTGCTCTTACTCCCAAAAATTGGGAATGCACACCTTTCGCTGCTACTGCACACGAAAACACACGAAAACATGTGCTTGCAAATAGCTGCACGCCACAACGTAAGAAGAAAACAGGGAAGACCTTTATCCGTATCTCACAACGGGTGAATCGAGATAGTGGCCGGAATCAAAGTAGTCCTTCCATGACACAAGTCTTCGATGGAAACCCTGGTTACGCCGTCGTCGTCGCTGACGACAAGAAGATGGGCAAAAGTAAAAGGAGGAGAGACGGGGGGATTGCTCCATGGCTGCACACAAGACCCAACAACGCAGGCACAACCCCCAATCGACCAGAGCAGTGTTTCCGTACGTTGCATAAGATATCACACCCCTTGGAACATTTTACTTTTCCAAGCTCGATTATTCGGCAGGAACAGCGGTGACGGTGTCGAAAAGGGCGGCGTTGGACCCGTCTCGTCGAGAGCTTTCCGATAACGAATACTTCAATTTCGGCATCATCTTCGGCGTGGAGTAATCGAGCTCTGAAAATCGGTCAAAAGGTGTGATATCTTACGCAACCTACGGTACAAATAGGGTCTGGTCCTCAAAAACCCAGCGGTACTCGGCTTCGACTTCAGGGTCTTCAAGTATGAAAAAAGGACAATATTCGCAGCTCGTCGGTGGTTGGTGGTCTTCGGGACTCACAAAAGACCTTACCCATCTTCCTGTGATACCTATTAGATCCCCAATCTCACATTAGGTAACCACTAGGGGTTTTTGGCCCATCGCCGCTTTGCGTTCCCCGATATGGCTGCTAACAAAGCACCCAGAACATAAGGGGCGACGCCGTTTCCTTCGCAAAGAGCACTCCGAGTGGGGGGGCACGGTCGTTCGCGAGCACGCAACGGAGGCGCTCTTTACGAGAAGCAAACCCCACGGATCAGCCACGGGTGGCATGTATACCTGCACCCTGCCTTGCGAAGAGGGTTCTCGACCAGAATGCAACAAGTGATTCTGGCAGAAAACAAGACGAAAAAACATTAAGCTACTATGCGTATGTACCGTATGTGCGTCGTGAGCGACGGCGGGGGGACTACAAGCCTATCACGAAGACTGCGAGTACGATGATCGCGATGATGATAAGCACGATGATGATCATACAGCACTGCCGTTTTCGAATCTTCTTCGAGGAGTCGATGGCGTGCGCGATGTCCGTGTTAGCATCTTTGACGTAATCCGATGCAGATTTCACCTGTGCACCGTGTTTACCAGAAATGAACACGCAAGGAAAAGTGTGGTTACAAAAATGGTAGCTGATTGTTAGGGAAGTCATCAGACAAACCACGAAGGAAGCGATGAATCGCATTGTACCATCAGCATGTAGCTTTCGTAGGCAGCGAAGCAGGACGTACCGTGCTCGCATAATCGCTGCATTGATGGTCCAGTCCCCCCCTATTTTTCTTCGTCCCGCTCGTTACATGTTCAGCGGGGGGCTTTCCCCTCACGATCGAAGCTACTGGTAAATTCGTAATGTTTTATCAACTGGCTGTTAGAAGCGATGGTAGAAATAATCACGATAAGCTGGTTTACTAGGAGCGGCGGTAGTAGCCGCCTACAACATACCGGTCTTGGCACAAGAAACGATGGAACTTCTCCCTGAAGGCGGGTAAAAGAAACGGGTGGAAGTCGACAGATAGTCTCGCCGTTCCAAGAGCTACCTTTGAGGTATCTCACCTGGTACTCGATCTGGTCCAACATCTCCCCCTGGCGATCGACGAGTAGCGCAAGGTCCATGAACATCTTGTGCAGTTCCAGGATGGAGGCCTCCAATCGCCGCACGTCGTGATACGTGTCCTTCACCTCCTCCAGAACTGACGACCATCACGAAACACGCGCGAAAACCACCCTTACACAAAGAGAAGAAATCTCCCATTTGTAGCCGCACTGAGACTGATAGAACCATCCTCATTGGTCAGCAGACTAACAACTTTCGACTGACAGCGGTGAAAATCGGGTTTTTGTGGCCACGTCCTCGGCTCGATGACCGCGCATCACCACCCGCATGAGCGGAGAAAGCGAGCACAGCACCAGACGCTCTACACAAACACCCGCAATCCTCACGGGGTCCCAGATCACGGCAAGCCTTTACAGCCATATTGCTGTTTCCGATAGGTACTGAAACTGACAATCTTTTCGTCGGCCAGCCCGTTACCGCGGTCGATGCCAGGAATAAAACCACCATACACGCGGCCACCGATCCTGACCGGCCCCCCAACATGCGGCACAACTCGCTAAACTCACCGTGTGTCACCTCGACCGGGTCCCCTTGCTGCAAAATCGCCGCCTCCATTACTCTTTGAACACCGTCCTGCATATTGCGATGCATGAAACGCAGATGAACAAGCACACAACTCAATTAAATACCGTTCGAGAACTAGCGGTTTGTTTCCGACAGATGATAGAGCTGGCTCTCTCGCGATCCCGTTCTCTCGTCTTGTCGAGAGTATTTTCAACAAATGACACCAAACTCATGCGCCCATAATCGAACGTAGGTCTTATGTCCTGAACTATGTAGGGGTCATCCCAACATGTTATGCATGCATGAGGCGGGTAACACGCGGCAAATGATGACGATTAAGAGCACAAATATAGTATTTATATATGTGGTGACGACAAACCGTCCCCAAACAACCGAAAAACGCCCCACAGAGTGCCGCACAACGGACCGTAAGCGGACCCACCTCCTGCTCGAAGACGGTCGTAAGTTCCTCTTCGGTGGCTGACGGTTTCACAGCGAGGATTTGTCGCTCCGCCTTCTTCTTCACCGACGTCTTGTACTTGTTCTGAGGCCGGACGAGAAGGAGGAGCGCGCCGTAGGTTGGGGGTCGTACTTTCGACAACGTCTAGACCATCGACGAAGACGGCACACGCCCTCCGGCCACAACCCTCTCCCAAAGGACTAAGCCTAACCTAGACTGCACTTCCCAGGTCCAAATCCCCAAAATCTCTCGAGATGTTCTTTTCCCTTGGAAGGGTACGTCTGGGCCGATAGACAGCTGTCGCCGGCTAGCCCGTGGTCACTCCTTGGCATACTGTAGCCGAGGATACCGGGACCACAAAGCCTCGTCAGTTTCGCCTCGCAGCAGCGTGCGGTACTACAGTAGCGCGGCAACACTCAACACCCTATCTGCCCCTTCTTTGCCCACAGCAGCGACAACTCCCCAGTCCCCCGACAAGCTTGTACAGTACACCAAAAAAGCCTTGAAACAACTGCCGGTGGTCTTAGGCAAGGTCAACGACATTTCTGACGACAATTAGTGGCGGCATCATCAGCAACATAGGAAACATCCCCAGTCTCCACTGTCTCCCTTGCCGCCGCCGCCGCACCTGCCGATTTTGGTAGTCTTTCGCAAGGTCGACGAACTTTCTCGTCAGCGTGTTCTGCAGGTTTTCTCGGACTCGCACTTCCGACGGTTTCGCCCTGGACGGGTCCTTCTTCATGGCCTCCGTTTCCTCTCGCATCGCCTGCAGCAGGCCCTTCGCGTGCGCCACACGATTATTCGTGCTGCCAAGGCGGACCAACGACGAGAAGACGGGGGTCGAACGATGGGAAACAAGAAGGGGGGGGG